GGTGAGCAATGGAAGGAACTCCCGACTCACGTGACCATCAGATGACCAGATGGCTTACTGAGGAAGCAGCTGAAGTACTGAGGAGGAATGAAGAAGGGAGACAACCCACTTCTGTCTCAGCCATACAACAGAACTACAGTGAGCATTTCATTCATTCAAGTCATGCATGCAGTTAGATAAGCAGGAGTATTACCAAATGAAATAATTGGTTTGAATTTATGTTTATGGTTCCTTGACCGGATGGGTATGACGTGAATATTGAGACCAGAGGTTATCTTGTTCTGTTGCAGGTGGCCCAGTGTCTCAGGTGGACTTGACCAATGCTTCCAATGTGTCTGTCTCCGTTGGGGAGCAAGGAACTAAAGGATGTCTGTCCCAAGGTGAGATGATGCACAAACATACTGATAATTTGATAAAGAGGACAATGGCGGCAATCGCATCTCGATCTTGAGTGCTGTTTTTGATCCCTCATGTAGCTGCTCAAACGTGTTATCCTGAAAATTAAAAGAGGGCATGGTAATAAGGACCAAGGGTTGACTTATAGATTTCCAGGGGCTTCACAATCCATAATAATCTTCCCAAATTAACTGGGGATTGGTTCTCAGGTTTTATCTCAGAAAATATTGTTCAGACATAATGGATGTTCCGATCAATGAACAGTTGATCTAAAATATTGACAGTATTTTCATTATGGAGCAGTTAAGATAAATGCGTGTAAGTCCATACTTTCATCCTCTGTGGTAAGCTTAAAGATGGAAATTGTTACGTTTACGTGTATGCTTGTATGAATTGACAGCATCAGATCCAAACACCGCCCTCATGAACTGTTACCCAATTGTAGTTTCCTTTCCCCACAGAACGTTTCCGTCAAAAGATGGAACACCTAAAGAAGTATTTTGTGGACATCCATGCCCTCCAGACAGCCAGACAACTCCTTGAGAAACATAGTCATGTCAGCATCTGTGGAGCCCCGGGGGATGGGAAGACCAGCATTGCTCTGATGATCTGTGAGGCATATCAGCAACAGGGATATGAAACAGTCTTTGTGGAAAACATTAAACACTTTGATGTTGATACAATTTCTAAGAGACAATCACACATGTTGGTTGTTTTTGATGATATATTTGGCTCTGTTACTTTCATTTCAAATCTGGAAAAACTGCATAAATTGTTTAGTGCTTTGGTTGATGATCGTGCTAAAACAGCTGCAGATATAGAGGTTTCAAAGAAGAAGAAGAAGAAGAATAAGGGTGAACAATCAAAACAGGAAGACAAATCTAATGAAGAAATCCCTGTCTACAGACTGAAGCTTGTGTTCACATCCAGGACATACAACTGGAAGGGAGGATGCTCCAGACTACATCAGTACAAGGTGGATCTGCTTACAACAGAAGCTGTTCTTGATATGGCTAAGGACTGTCTCACAATGGAAGAAAAGAAACGTATGTTATGGTCCTACAAGTCCAAACACCGTGCATGCGATATCTCTGAAAAAGATATTTGTATCATCGCAGATTCAAAACACAGCATATTTGGATTTCCTCTTATCAGCAGACTGTTTTTCACCTATGATGTCTTCCAGATGCACAACCTGGAATTCTTCAACCATCCACTGACCTACCTGAGAGGCGACCTTGACACCATTGTCCGGGAGGAAAGCAATAGATCGGCAGCAATCATCATCCTCATCCTTTCTGATGGGAAACTGAATCTTGTTTCTTTGCAGTCAAGGAAAGCTGGACATGTAATGTTTGACGCTGTGAAGGAAGTAGTTCCGTGTTGTACAAAGACAGGCATTGCCAATGAGATCCACAACTTTACTGGGATCTACTGTACAGTGGAGGATCACATGACATCTTTCTCCCACCCCTCCATATACGATGCTGCAGCCTGTGCTGTAGGACATCTCAATATCGTGCTGCTGCTGGAACACTGCTCTCTGAAGTTCTTGTATGAAAGGGTGAGACTGGATAAGAGTTCTGAGTCAACAGGCATGGACGATGTCACAAACATGATCTCCATCTCTCCCCAACTACACCCAACAGTAGTGAACAGATTAGAGGAAGGTATCCGACAAGGATGCTTCGTCTGGACAGTAAAACACTCAGTTCTCCGTGATGAAAGGATTGCTTCTCTGCTTTGGACAGAGATAAATGATAACATAGTTGAGACTGTCCTCCGAAGGGATGTGGACACTGGTGAAAGCTTTTTGTATTTGGTTTCCCTCTCTGACAGTTACTTTCTATTCTCCAAGTCTTTAGAAGTTGCTGTGAGACTGGGTGACAGAACACCTGATCTGTATGCATGTGTGGTAGCCTGTGTTACCCACGACAAACTGGAACATCTGGAACACCTCGTTACAGTAATGGGTAAACAAGGAGGATTTAATGTTGAATATACCATCGATGGGACAACCCTCCTGCTCATGGCTGCAAAGTCACCAAAATCCAAGGTGTTCAACTTTCTCATACAGAAAGGTGCTGATGTTCCAGTGAGGGACTTGAAAGGAAACACATGTTTGCATTATGCCTGTGAATCAGGAAACATGGCAATAGCAATGAAGGTGGTGGAAACATGCCCTGCATTGATTAATTTGATGAATCATGAGAAGTTAACGCCTGCAATGATTTGTGCAAAAACAGGTCAGCTTGATATTCTGAAGTTCCTCAAAGCAAAAGAAGCCGATTTAACATGTACATACGGGAAAAACTGTTTGCATTTGTCAAGTCAAAATGGTAATCTGTCAACTGTGAACTTTTTAATTTCATTGAAAATATATCAGGTAAACAAGAAGGATAGCAAATTGAGGAAAACACCAGCTATGTTTGCCGCGGAAGGCGGACACTATGATGTTTATCATCTCCTTGTATCTGAGGGCGCAGATCTGACACTTACTGATGGAGACAACACTGACTGTCTGATGTTGGCATGTGAAGGAGGTAACATATATATTGTGAAACACATCCTATCAATGAAAACATGTGACATCAACAGACGGGGTGGATACTCAAAAGAAACACCAATAATGATGGCATTGAAAAGAGGACACTATGATGTTTATCGTCTCCTTGTATCTGAGGGCGCTGATCTGACATTTACTAATAGATTCAACACTGACTGTCTGATGTTGGCGTGTGAAGGAGGTAACATATCTATTGTGAAACACATCCTATCCATGAAAACATGTGACATCAACAGACGGGTTGGATACTCAAAAGAAACACCAATAATGATGGCATTGAAAAGTGGACACTATGATGTTTGTCATCTCCTTGTATCTGAGGGCGCAGATCTGACACTTACTGATAGAGACGACACTGACTGCCTGATGTTGGCATGTGAAAGAGGTAACATATCTATTGTGAAACACATCCTATCAATGAAAACATGCGACATCAACAGACGGGGTGGATACTCAAAAGAAACACCAATAATGATGGCATTGAGCAGAAGACACTATGATGTTTGTCATCTCCTTGTATCTGAGGGTGCAGATCTGACCCTTACTGATGAAGACAACACTGACTGCCTGATGTTGGCATGTGAAAGAGGTAACATATCTATTGTGAAACACATCCTATCATTGAAAACATGGGACATCAACAGACGGGGAGGAAAGTCAAAACAAACACCAATAATGATGGCATTGAAAAGTGGACACTATGATGTTTATCGTCTCCTTGTATCTGAGATGACCCTTACTGATGAAGACAACACTGACTGGCTGATGTTGGCATGTGAAAGAGGTAACATATCTATTGTGAAACACATCCTATCAATGAAAACATGTGACATCAACAGACGGGATGGATACTCAAAAGAAACACCAATAATGATGGCATTGAAAAGTGGACACTATGATGTTTATTATCTCCTTGTATCTGAGGGCGCAGATTTGACCCTTACTGATGAAGACAACACTGACTGTCTGATGTTGGCATGTGAAGGAGGTAACATATCTATTGTGAAACACATCCTATCAATGAAAACATGGGACATCAACAGACGGGGTGGATACTCAAAAGAAACACCAATAATGATGGCATTGAAAAGTGGACACTATGATGTTTGTCATCTCCTTGTATCTGAGGGCGCAGATCTGACACTTACTGATAGAGACAACACTGACTGCCTGATGTTGGCATGTGAAAGAGGCAACATATCTATTGTGAAACACATCCTATCAATGAAAACATGTGACATCAACAGACGGGGAGGAAAGTCAAAACAAACACCAATAATGATGGCATTGAAAAGTGGACACTATGACGTTTATCATCTCCTTGTATCTGAGTTGACCCTTACTGATGAAGACAACACTGACTGCCTGATGTTGGCATGTGAAAGAGGTAACATATCTATTGTGAAACACATTCTATCAATGAAAACATGTGACATAAACAGACGGGGAGGAAAGTCAAAACAAACACCAATAATGATGGCATTGAAAAGTGGACACTACGATGTTTATCATCTCCTTGTATCTGAGGGCGCAGATCTGACCCTTACTGATAGAAACAACACTGACTGCCTGATGTTGGCATGTGAAAGATGTAACATATCTATTGTGAAACACATCCTATCAATGAAAACATGTGACATCAACAGATGGGGTGGATACTCAAAAGAAACACCAATAATGATGGCATTGAAAAGTGGACTCTATGATGTTTATCGTCTCCTTGTATCTGAGGGCGCAGAACTGACATTTACTAATAGATTCAACACTGACTGTCTGATGTTGGCATGTGAAGGAGGCAACATATCTATTGTGAAACACATCCTATCAATAAAAACATGGGACATCAACAGACGGGGAGGAAAGTCAAAACAAACACCAATAATGATGGCATTGAAAAGAGGACACTATGATATTTATCATCTCCTTGTATCTGAGGGCGCAGATCTGACCCTTACTGATGAAGACAACACTGACTGGCTGATGTTGGCATGTGAAAGAGGTAACATATCTATTGTGAAACACATTCTATCAATGAAAACATAGGACATCAACAGACGGGGTGGATACTCAAACGAAACACCAATAATGATGGCATTGAAGAGAGAACACTATGATATTTATCATCTCCTTGTATCTGAGGGCGCAGATCTGACCCTTACTGATGAAGACAACACTGACTGCCTGATGTTGGCATGTGAAGGAGGTAACATATCTATTGTGAAACACATCCTATCAATGAAAACATGGGACATCAACAGACGGGGTGGATACTCAATCGAAACACCAATAATGATGGCATTGAAAAGAGAACACTATGATATTTATCATCTTCTTGTATCTGAGGGTGCAGATCTGACACTTAATGATAGAGACGACACTGACTGCCTGATGTTGGCATGTGAAAGAGGTAACATATCTATTGTGAAACCCATCCTATCAATGAAAACATGTGACATCAACAGACGGGGTGGATACTCAAAAGAAACACCAATAATGATGGCATTGAAAAGAGAACACTATGATGTTTGTCATCTCCTTGTATCTGAGGGCGCAGATCTGACCCTTACTGAAAGAGACGACAGAGACTGCCTGATGTTGGCATGCCAAGGAGGTAACATATCTATTGTGAAACACATCCTATCAATGAAAACATGTGGTATCAACAGACGGGATGGATACTCAAACGAAACACCAATAATGATGGCATTGAGAAGAGGACACTATGATGTTTATCATCTCCTTGTATCTGAGGGCGCAGATCTGACACTTACTGATGAAGACGACACTGACTGTCTGATGTTGGCATGTGAAGGAGGTAACATATCTATTGTGAAACACATCCTATCAATGAAAACATGTGACATCAACAGACGGGGTGGATACTCAAAAGAAACACCAATAATGATGGCATTGAAAAGAGGACACTATGATGTTTGTCATCTCCTTGTATCTGAGGGCACAGATCTGACCCTTACTGATGAAGACAACACTGACTGCCTGATGTTGGCATGTGAAAGAGGTAACATATCTATTGTGAAACACATCCTATCAATGAAAACATGGGACATCAACAGAAGGGGAGGAAAGTCAAAACAAACACCAATAATGATGGCATTGAAAAGAGGACACTATGATGTTTATCATCTCCTTGTATCTGAGGGCGCAGATCTGACAACTAATTGATGAAACTAACACAATTTCCTATGTCGTTACATTGGAAACACTGTAATGCTTGTGATCTTGTCTTAGGTGTGCAGATATGACCTTTACTGATGAACGCATCAGAAACTGTCTGTCATGCAAGAGAGGAAACATATCTGGAAGCTGAATATCTGTATATAACACTGTGTCATGGTGTACGTGACATTGTAGTATACTATCGTGTTATACTATGGCATTGTTTAGCTGTGGTGTAAATGTCATATATATATATAGTTGTGTATTGCTGCATGTACCAGCGTATAGGGTTGTAGAGGTGTATATAGCATGGTACTATTTTCAAGTATTGTAACCTTAGTGGATTCTGGTATGAATGTATGCATGACATATTGCATACACTGTATGACATGATGTTTTACACTGTGTACGCTACCCGACTGATGTAACCTGACACTGGATAAGTGGGAACCACAGCACTGTGTATACAGCATTGCACAGTGCTCTTTTTCCTGGTCTGTTTGATTGTTTTGATGCACCACAATACTGAAGGGTTATCTATTGTAGGCATTTTAAAGGCATGAATTCTTTAGCTTTATATATGATGCAGTGTGTTAGGTTTTGGCAAAAATTGTCCTGGTCTTTGTTTTCTTGTTCAGTTTGGTTTACCTAGTTACACAAATTTTCGAACCAGCGGGCTTTGTTCTAGAATTTTGGTTCTTGTGGATTATTCTGGTTTTCGTTATCTATATTGCCTACTGTTACAAGGACAGGAAAAACGTCGCTTCCCAACGGACTGAAATGGTTTTTAGACAGGGTACATTGAGCGAGTTCCGGATGCAGATAATATAATCGCTAGCAGACATAGTTCAGTGCTGACTGTCATACCTAGTTGGTTCAATCTTAAAAAGATATGTCAATCACAAAACTCACTTGAAAAGCTTTTAATTTGTACTGCATGATATATACTTGCTAATAAAAGTACAGAAATTCCTAACAGACTTAATCTATTCTATTTGTTGGTTTATGATTATAAATCGTGTTGTGTTCACACTGCATTAGGGGCTTTACTGCTTACATATGCCGGATTTACACGAGGTAGGATTAAGTCATGCCACCCAACCAATACAAACATCTTGAGAATGTTGAGACTGTTGAAAGTCTTGAAAAGCGTTAAAAACGGATTAACCATACCCGTTCACTTTTGTAGTGGAACTAACTTTAAACAGCGGTTATTGGCGTGGAATTTTCTGTTGTAGAACCAATATGTTCTCTCCTGGGATCGGTCCATACACACTATACTACTGCCACAAGTGGGCATCTACAACAAGTGGGCCTCTGCTTCAGTAAATGTTGGTTACTGCCACAAGGGGGCCTCTGCTACAGAAACTATTGGTTACTGTCACAATTGGGTCTCTGGTACAGAAGAATTGATGATTGGCGCAATAGAACACAAATGACTTGTGCACGAACACAGTCACGCTCCTTTCTCCTCCACGAAGTGGGGGCGGTGAGGTAGTCTAGTGGTTAAAGAGTTCGCTCGTCATGCCGAAGACTTGTGTTCGATTCCCCACATGGGTACGATGTCTGCATCGTCTGCGTCTGCAATATTGCTAAAAGTTGTGTAAAACCTCAATCACCCATTCCACAAAGTGATGGAATCATGAAAGGAACATACTCAGGTTTTAAATGGGTTTGCAATGACAACTCGACAATCTCCCTTCTGGGATTCCATACCATTTGGATATTTCTGACCTGCCCTTGAAAGTATGAAAGTATTCGACAATATGGACAGCCACATATATAGGTGTCATTTAATCATAGGTCAACATGAGTGGATTGAAATTGAGTTTATTGGGTTTTATCACTTTCATCAGTTTTCCAGTTACTGCTTGAGAAAATTCTGCAAGAAACAGTTTACTTATGTGATTGCAGTAAAACGTGCGAGCCGAGGCTGATCCTGGCGAACTAAGGGAGATAATGTAGTTGCACATTGTTCCCTATCTTTACCCTACTGCAAAACAGTCTACGACGGATAAGACAAGACCCAGATGACCTACAAGAGTTACCCAATCATCATGTTCTGAGATACTGGAAGCTTTATTTGTTGAACGACTTGTTGATATCATCTGAACGCCCCCTTTAGCATTCCTTGAGTGTTATACATTGTAAAGTTAACCTGTGGTTCCGGGTTCGAATCCTGGTTAACTCAGGCTATGTTTCTGCTTGATATCTGCTTGATTCACGTCCCGAGTGTTGAGATTGATCCTGACGATGTCAAGCAGTTATGTCGGACCCAGAATGGATCATGTACATTGCTACTACAACATATATACGAGACAATATCCATTCAGTATTTGTCTGGTGTCCCCCGCCGTGATATTGCTGGAATATTGCTAAAAGGCGGCGAAAAACCATACTCACTCACTCCCATTCAGTATTTGGTTTATTTTATTAAACAAGGATGTCATAATATATGCTGTCCATGACGTCAATAGCAAACTAACACATTGCGTTATTACTATTGTTATTAGTATGGTAATCACGGTTTCCGCAGGGAATACACAGTTTCGTGGTTTTGATTGCCTCCATTTTGAGTAACAGTTCCAACAATAAGTCAGTTTCTCAAAAAACAAGCATGCTGGCATTGGATGATACAGGGTATCTCCCCTGGTGTAGTGACTCCTGAGCGAAGTGAGAAACTCAATTTGACGTCACAGCATCACGTCATCATATCTCGTAACAAGATACATCCCAGCAGTAGAAGAACAAGATACACGTTGCTCTGTCACGGGTCACACAGGTGTTCCTTACGTGTCTCACTGGCCTCCCATGTAATTCAGTCTAGGTACAAAGTTCAAAGTACAAAGTTCAAAGTTAAGTTCGTGTAGCAGTGCCAGTTGAACATCACGGATCTACAAAGTGGACATTCCCTTGGGTCAAACGTATATACGTGTGATTCCGGTTTGAGTTTTAATCCGCAGACCTTTCTCTGGGATATACACCGCTAGCTCTACATCGTCGTAGTGGAAGCACAACGCCTTCAAAGGTAATGTTCATCTGGGACAGGCAAACCCAGTGTCAGCATCGACCCACGAACTAGGAGTTTCCTTCACAGATGAGAACAGTAAAGAGCGATATACATGTATACTTGGGAAACTTTCTACCCATGCCCCACACATGAACTGATAATGAGAGGTGATACTGTATAAAGGAGGGTCAGTGAAGGATTGTCTAGTTGAAGTTCACAGTGTACACTAGCTTGAGCAACTCTCAACACAAACATAATATCAATGATATAACAGATACACGAATACAGTTCAACCTTATAATATTACTGTCATCTATCTCCATAAATAGTTATCTCCCTTTGGTGTAGGATTTCACGGAAGGATGTAACTTTGACGAGTAGTCACGTGATCAGATGGGGTTTTCATATTTCAAGGACCAGCCCTGAATATCTATACGAGATAGCTGGAAATGCCCGCATGTGTTTCTGACGAACAAACAACAGTGTTTCAACGAGAGAATTTTTTGTTCAGTTTCAATATTTTCAAAGCCTCCTTGTAATTTGGAGGTGGGGCTTCTTCCACGGAGGAAGCAGATGTGGACCTAAATACAGAGAATACAGGCAAATGCATCCCCGGTATCCGTGATGACCGGCCATTATGTATAGCTACTTCCGGTTCATATGCGGGATTGTCATAAACATTGACTTCCAGTGCTTGTTTATGGCAAGGGCAGTCACACTGAGCAGGCTGGACTGTTTGAGAGTTGGGAGCCTCGGCATCTGTGTTCGTTGTGGAGGCACTGCTTTCGGAAGAATTGCTTTCATTGAGCGAGTTCGATCTCGAATTGACGGAGACCCCGCGGCTGAAGACGTGGTTTCTGATGTTATCATGACGTCCGGCTCATGTTCAGATGAAGTAGAAAGAGATTCGTTAGAGGTTTCAGAGTCAAGATTTGTCAAATGTCTGTCCCTAAAAATGCCACATTGGGAAGATTTGCACTTTCTGCACAAAGAATAATGTCGAGATAACAAAAAAGGCCCTCCATTCAAGCCAAACAGTTCCTGATAGCTCGGCGGAGGAAGAAACACTTCCTGGTGAACCGCCTCTTCGTCTTGAGCTGGACGTCGCGCACGCGTAGAGCGTCTGTTCCGGCGACGACGCTTCTCGAAGGTGCACGACCAGCAAATACGGAACAGGAAGATGACGACCGGAACAGCCGCGAAGACGATGTAAATGCGCATGTCAAATCGGGGGACACGTCTTGTACCATTCCCTTCCTCGTCCTCGTCTTGTGTCGTGTCTCCTTCCGTGTGGACCCTGTTTAGTGCTGAAAACACGGAAAGGAGATAAAGAGTTTGCACGAATTTATGCTACTGCTATGAGATATATTCCAAATGTTTAACGTAAAACTCGATAAAAAAAATTTGTCAATAAAGACATGTCAACAACCAAGTTCCCGAGCCAGACCCGCTGTTACCGTAGGTCGTCTCCTACAACCAGCTTATGTTGCTGGGGACAACGGAATTTAATGTGAGGAGCTAGACTGACTTTTAGTCCCCAAAATAACAGTTTTAAACACTAAATTAAGATCTTATTTACCATAATGTAAAAAACATCTCAAATGCCAATGGGGCCCATGACAGTCTTTAGGCATCCAGACTTGAATTCACACAAAAATATCATAGAGAGGAACATAAGTATTCACGCAACATAAAGGCACGTACGCTGACAGAAGAATCTTATTCTGTAGTTATTGCATATTCCAGAAGTCTGGTCACTATTCCTGCAGGCTAGACCCGCAGTGGAGCCAGACTGTCTTCCCTCACGATGTTGTCGACGTCACCGTTGTCGACATCGCAGTCAGCTCTGGTGATTCTGTGAGTTGATGGGCAGATATTCCGTCTCAGAGCCTGTAAATCGGGTAAAGTTATACTTCGCATAGTTTTAAAAGCTGAGCTCAAAGATAAACACTCACGGATAACGCGTGGTCGTGCTATATCCGTGTTCGTTTTTTATTTAAAATTCCGATATGAGCGAGCGTATAGTTGCCTGTGTCAGTCCTTTCCTTGTGTAAACGTACTTGAAACTGTAGTTCATGGTGTACATTTCATATGTGTTTTATTGGCAGTGTGACCTAATGTAAACATGTTTGTTGGTGTGTCAGGGATCAGATACATCTTGCAGTCACTAGCTACAGGTATGTAGATGTCAGGGATCAGATATAGCTTGTAGTCACTAGCTGCAGGTATGTAGGTGTCAGGGATCAGATATAGCTTGCAATCACTAACTGCAGGTATGTAGGTGTCAGGGATCAGATATAGCCTGTAGCCAATAACTGCAGGTATGTAGGTGTCAGGTATCAAATATAGCTTGCAGTCACTAACTGCAGGCATGTAGGTGTCAGGGAACTGATATACCTTGTAGTAACTAGCTGCAGGTATGTAGGTGTCGGGGATCAGATATAGCTTGCAGTCACTAACTGCAGGTATGTAGGTGTCAGGGATCATATAATGCTTGTAGTAACTAGCTGCAGGTATGTAGGTGTCAGGGATCAGATATACCTTGTAGCCACTAGCTGCAGGTATGTAGGTGTCAGGGATCAGATATAGCTTGCAGTCACTAGCTGCAGGTATGTAGGTGTCAGGGATCAGATATAGCTTGCAGTCACTAGCTGCAGGAATGTAGGTGTCAGGGATCAGATATAGCTTGCAATCACTAGCTGCAGGTATGTAGGTTTTAGGGATCAGATATAGCTTGTAGGCACTAGCTACAGGTATGTAGGTGTCAGGGATCAGATATAACTTGCAGTCACTAGCTGGAGGTATGTAGGTGTCAGGGATCAGATATAGCTTGCAGTCACTAACTGCAGGTATGTAGGTGTCAGGGATCAGATATAGCTTGCAGTCACTAACTGCAGGTATGTAGGTGTCAGGGATCAAATAGAGCTTGCAGCCACTAGCTGCAGGTATTTAGGTGTCAGGGATCAGATATAGCATGTAATCACTAACTGCAGGTATGTAGGTGTCAGGGATCAGATATAGCTTGTAACCACTAACTGCAGGTATGTAGGTGTCAGGGATCAGATATAGCTTGTAGCCACTAGCTGCAGGTATGTAGGTGTCAGGGATCAGATATAGCTTGTAGCCACTAACTGCAGGTATGTAGATGTCAGGGATCAGATATAGCGTGCAGTCACTAACTGCAGGTATGTAGGTGTCAGAGATCAGATATAGCTTGTAGCCACCAACTGCAGGCATGTAGGTGTCAGGGATCAGATATAGCTTGCAGTCACTAACTGCATGTATGTAGGTGTCAGGGATCAGATATAGCTTGTAGTCACTAGCTGCAGGTATGTAGGTGTCAGGGATCAGATATAGCTTGTAGTCACTAGCTGCAGGTATGTAGGTGTCAGGGATCAGATATAGCTTGTAGTAACTAGCTGCAGGTATGTAGGTGTCAGGGATCAGATATAGCTTGTAGTCACTAGCTGCAGGTATGTAGGTGTCAGGTATCAGATATAGCTTGTAGCCACTAGCTGCAGGTATGTAGGTGTCAGGGATCAGATATAGCTTGTAGTCACTAGTTGCTGGTATGTAGGTGTCAGGGATCAGATATAACTTGTAGTCACTAGCTGCAGTTATGTAGGTGTCAGGGATCAGATATAGCTTGTAGTCACTAACTGCAGGTATGTAGGTGTCAGGGATCAGATATAGCTTGTAGCCACTAGTTGCTGGTATGTAGGTGTCAGGGATCAGATATAGCTTGTAGTCACGATCTGCAGGTATGTAGGTGTATATGCACGCGATCAGAAATACACGACGGAGTATGACGGTAATTCTATATACAAACGTGATCAGGGCTAACTTGGATTTGAAAACGGATCCATTTTGAAAAATTCGAAACCGTGTATTTCATCCATTAGTTACAAATATCGTGAACGCGTTTGACTAAAACTCTAAACTTTGGCTATAGTGACTGGAAAGGGGCGGGGTTGTAATACAATGGCGTACGCAATGTCTTGTGACGACTCACCATATAAGGCTATAGGGGTCCCAAAGGGAATAAAGAGCTAATTATTTCTCAGGTAATAGGCAGCGCGACCAATTTATGTGAGTGTGAAGCTCTACAGGTGTTATATCAACCCTTAATACACAGTCGGGGTACATGAGTGTGAAGCTCTACAGGCGTTATATCAACCCTTAATACACAGTCAGGGTACATGAGTGTGAAGCTCTACAGGTGTTATATCAACCCTTAATTCCCAGTCGGGGTACATGAGTGTGAAGCTCTACAGGTGTTATATCAACCCTTAATACACAGTCGGGGTACATGAGTGTGAAGCTCTACAGGTGTTATATCAACCCTTAATACACAGTCCGGGTACATGAGTGTCAAGCTCTACAGGCGTTACATGAACCCTTAATTCCCAGTCGGGGTACATGAGTGTGAAGCTCTACCGTTATATCAACCCTTAATTCCCAGTCTGGGTACATGGATTACAACAACCACAACACCCACCCTGGTGATGGACTGAACCGTTTCGTAGTCGCCGTCGCCGCTCACTGGGTCGTCCACGTCGTACCACTCAGTCCAGTACTCGCGGTCGCCCTGCCTTAGTCGGGAGGCTGCAACACACAATAATAATGATGGCGATTTTAACAATAATAATGATGATGATTATAACAATGATAATGATGATGATTATAACAATGATAATGATGACGATTATAACAATGATAATGATGACGATTGTAACAATGATAATGATGATGATTATAACAATGATAATGATGATGATTATAACAATGATAATGATGACGATTGTAACAATGATAATGATGATGATTATAACAATGATAATGATGACGATTGTAACAATGATAATGATGATGATTATAACAATGATAATGATGATGATTATAACAATGATAATGATGATGATTATAACAATGATAATGATGACGATTATAACAATGATAATGATGATGATTTTAACAATGATAATGATGATGATTATAACAATGATAATGATGACGATTATAACAATGATAATGATGATGATTATAACAATGATAATGATGATGATTTTAACAATGATAATGATGATGATTATAACAATGATAATGATGACGATTATAACAATGATAATGATGATGATTTTAACAATGAAAATGATGATTTTAACAATGATAATGATGATGATTATAACAATGATAATGATGACGATTATAACAATGATAATGATGATGATTTTAACAATGATAATGATGATGATTATAACAATGATAATGATGATGCTTATAACAATAATAATGATGATGATTATAACAATCATAATGATGACGATTGTAACAATAATAAGAGTCCCCCTTGAATGACGTAGTGTACACACGATTTGTGATTCTCTGCCTGTGACATGTGACATGTGACATGCTAAAATAGTCCCATTATCACATCACCCACCGGGTACCCATTCCCTGCTCCATCAGCACAGGATTATTTCAAATACTCAAGTGCCTAAGGAGACACCGACGTGCTGCACGTGCTCCGGTGTGGGTCACGACCTCAAGAGTCAAGGGAGATCACCCATCGAGTACTTTTCGTGAACAGCGTTGTTTAACGTGAGCTGGTAGTTGTAAGCAGGTCCACTTACCACTAATGTTTTTCAGTACCACAAAGACAGCCAAAGATGAACTGAGGAAATTTATTAGATCTAAGTAGACAGCACCCACAGTTGGAATTATAAGAGTGAGTGAGTGAGTTAAGATTTAAAGTCACATCGGCAATATTTCAGCCATATCGTGACTAAAACTAGTTCTAAATTTGTAATACATACATATAATATATTAAACCCTGTCAACGAAGGACAGTAAAACCACTAGATTATCACAGATTGAGTTAAAACTAGCTAACATATATCTTTAAAAGTAGAAAATTATTTCTGGACAATACAATGTAAAATTGGGCTATAGATCGCCAACAACTGAAGGTAGATCACCATACTAGGGACCATGGGGACTTACAGTACCTTTGCTACCTGCATGGACCCTAGCTGGATTTACACCATCCCTTCAGCCATTGGCGTTTATATCGAGAATTAGCCATACATTAAAATGACAAAAATACTACGATTAAAACACCTGGTATACTTAAATTTACTTGAAATGTTTTGGGACTTACGTACCCGGAATTATAAGAAAAATAAGATATAAATAATAAATCTACGGCGTGACACGTGTATATGTGTCAGCCAAGACACGGGTCAGACAATATGCGATGAGTGAGTGAGGCAGTATTACCTCATGCCCTGGCTGTATACGATGACTGAGTGAGGCAGTCTTGCTTCACGCCCTGGCTGTATACGATGAGAGAGTGAGGCAGTAGTAGCTCATGCCCTGGCTGTATACGATGAGTGATTGAGGCAGTATTACCTCATGCCCTGGCTGTATACGATGAGTGAGTGAGGCAGTATTACCTCATGCCCTGGCTGTATACGATGACTGAGTGAGGCAGTCTTGCTTCACGCCCTGGCTGTATACGATGAGAGAGTGAGGCAGTAGTAGCTCATGCCCTGGCTGTATACGATGAGTGATTGAGGCAGTATTACCTCATGCCCTGGCGGTATACGATGAGTGAGTGAGGCAGTACTACCTCATGCCCTGACGGTATACGATGAGACAGTGAGGCAGTATTACCTCATGCCCTGACGGTATACGATGAGTCAGTGAGGCAGTATTACCTCATGCCCTGACGGTATACGATGAGTGAGTGAAGCAGTATTACCTCATACCCTGGCGGTATACGACGGGTGAGTGAGGCAGTCCTGCTTCGTGCCCTGATGGTATACGACAGACCAAGGTTGTAGAGGGTGTTTAAATACAACGTAACAGGACATGATAAATAAGATCAAGTTGGTCAAGTGGAGAAAATGGATACTAGCCAGCCAATACAGGTAGCTACATCAAGTCAGATGATCTCTTGTCGGCGGGGACTACTCAGATACCAACGGAACTGTGCGTATCTTCACACATCCGTGTGGCAGGGGAGTGGCTGGTCAGGTGGCTGGTCAGGTGGCTGAAGGATGGTGTTTAAGGAGGCAGTGACACATCCTCGATCATCCGGTGCATTCTGTCTCCATTCTACGTCACACGCTGGGTAACAGAGGGTATCACGGGGTATCCCAGTGGTTAAAGCGTTCGCTCGTCACACGAAGGCCCGGGTTCGATTCCCGACATGGGTACAATGTGTGAAGCCCATTTCTTGTGTAATCCCCTCGTGATGTAGCTGGGATGTTGCTAAAAGCGGCTTAAAACCCAAATAACTCACTGAACGTGACACGCCTGGTAACCGAGGTCACAACTGGAAACAGAAAGGTCTTGGGGGGTGTACATATTGGGTTGAAAAGAGCCAGATCACAAGATACAAAAAGCATCTAAAAAGTTTTACGAACAGATGAAATATTTCAAGAGATTACGGGAAACAGGAAGGACAATACACCATACGTATACCTTCAAGTATACATCAATACCACTTGAGACACAATGCATGCAACACAGAAAGAAATACCATAATGCAGAAAAACTGTCTGCACCCTCCCTTAACATGCATAGTGGTCACTAGAAGTCCAATACCATTGACCGCCATGAAAACAGTTACGGATTTCACCGAGTCGTAGACGATAGTCCGGCACTGTAGCATAAGACATCGTCCACACAATGACGTCGAACGACGACACTAGAGTAACAGGAGTTATTCCCCCTGGATCCACCCGGATGCGTTGGTTCCCGAAGATAATCGTTTACCATAGACATGCTGGGGTTATTTACTCTGCTTAAGTCAAGACTGTTTTGTAACGTACTTTTTTAATGCTCAGTCTGAGAGCCACCCAATATATAGAGCTCCAAACAAGTTAAAGAATACCACAACAGGAAGGCTGGATGATCTTTACCTGGATGGATGATCTTTAGTGGTATAAAATCTCAAACCGCCAGTGCAGCGAAGTGTTCATACAGCACGTGCATTCCATGCACATATACTTCCCTCTGTTAGTAAGATAGAGATCGTTTCATTGATACCGTGCATGAATACAATATTTCAGTGAGCGTGACATGTGACCATGGTTCGTCAAATATTTGGGAAACCCTGAACTAAAAACAAACCGAAGAACTCAACTGGTGACTGAGCAACATGTACATGTTGTTTGTGATTCGTTCATAACTGTCAAAATAGTTTATATTTTTCATACTCACGCTGTGTTCTGTGAAATTCATCCCAGTACAGCAGGTGTATACTTTCTATTGTACGTCAGTATACATTTAGTCAACAGTTACTCGAGAACGTGGTTTCATCTATGCTCTTTAAAAAGGACAGGGGACACTCGGAAATAACCTTTTCAAAAATTGTAATTAGGAGACATAAATAATTGCTGTAATTTGATAATTAACAAATAGGGGCCACATTACAACCAGTAGTGACGTATGGCAGTAAATGTTCTTGCATTTAATTGTATGTATACTGTACATTATTTAAACAATTTCTTTAAATATGATGCGCTTCTGTTATCCGTATATATTTATTATATCACACTATGCGGCTTGTTTTTGGTTTTGTTGTGATTTCCATTTCCATTTTTGGCTTTGTCCATCTTGTAACATTTGTTTTCATGATTTTATATTATAGCTCATGTACCACCATTGGTGATGTTTGTTGAGTAAAATGAAAAGAACCTTGACCTTGCCACCATCTTGGAGACGATAGTGGCAAGTTGGGAAATTTCAGTGTTAACGTTTTGGATCAGTAGTGCGTAACACTGTGAAGTTGACGCTCTCGTTTCCCTATCGCGTGCCATACATGTTCAGGTGGGAACCATTCCGGGTATTCTATATTGTCCTGCGATTCTTGGGCAGTAAGCACGGGGAGTGTCGTCCTGTAAGCTTAAGACGTCGCCTGCAAGCCTTCCAAACTGGTAAACAGGGGCCGTCAGCCTTTTGTACCTACACTGTCAACTGGATCTTCTTGTCACAATGTGGTGATGTCGCCCAACACCATAATACATTCTGATGACGCGCAGTCACGCAACGCATGTCGCCCTTACTTGGAACCGCCTCTATTCCCTGGAATAACATGCTGGGGTACTGATGACGCATGTTGTCTACTTCCGGTTCCGTCTGGAGTATCCAGGGTTGATACAGACATGCAATCTACTGGATGAGGTTGTAGGCAAGATCAAGGCGCAACCAGACACAGAAGGTAACTGTGGCGACCCCTGCAATATCATCCTTTTGATTGGTTTATTGATTGTACTGTGACCCGTGATAATTTCCGGCTGGGATCTGCCCCACCAAACTCTACTGGTAGTATGGGGCAACTTAATAGATCGGATGGTGAGGATCCCGAACCCGACTTGATTCGCCATTTGCGCTCGAATTCGTACAACCTGATTTGGGATCAATCGACCAGGTATTGTGGGGCGCCCTGAACGGGGTCGATCGTCAACATTTTGTGATTGTTCGTACATGTTTCATAACCTGCAAATTTCAGAATGTGAAACATGGAACGTTGTAGCCACAGCTCTCTGACACTGCCAGCTTCCCTCGTCGCAAAGTGGCTGAAAAAATTACTGAATGGAGTAGAGTGGAGTGGACTGGAGCTTAGTGAATGAGTGAGTGAGTCTTGATTAATATGAGCCGTGATTAATGCACGAATTCTTAGGAGTTTTGCACAACGCACACACACGCACACACACGCACACAAAAAACACACACAACACACACACAAAACACACACAAAGTGTTGTCTATAACGTCATTCTCAAGATGATCACATTGACAGTGTGAGAATTGAAGAAATTATATCTGTGCTTAGGATCTTCAGACTTGTGTACGTATATGTATGTATGTATGTATGTATGTATGTATGTATGTATGTATGTATGTATGTATGTATGTATGTATGTATGTATGTATGTATGTATGTATGTATGTATGTATGTATGTATGTATGTATGTATGTATGTATGTATGTATGTATGTATGTATGTATGTATGTATGTATGTGTATGTATGTATGTATGTATGTATGTATGTATGTATGTATGTATGTATGTATGTATATAATACACACACACATATATATACGCACAAAATGTCCAAAATAGTACAGGTGTTCAGTCATAAATATTACATAGATAAATAAAACAGAATGCCTTTTTCTCCAACATGTTTCGTTCTTTACTCTTCAGGGAGATTGGCGACAATCTCCCTCAAGAGTAAAGAACGAAACATGTTGGAGAAAAAGGCATTCTGTTTATATATATATATATATATATATACACACACACACACACACACACACACACACACACACAAGTGATTTCTGCAAGTGTATAAGCAATAAATATATAAAATTCAAATCTTGGCAAGAAGAAATATCTGGACTCATATTGTATTGCTTATTCATCTGTATATATGAAATACTCGACTGCACATATAATGTTTAGAACTGTACGGATGTATTTACTTATAAAGCATATGTAACCTCATATATGCCTCTGCCTGCAGCCTAAGTTGAAGTAAAGTTCAGTTCAGGTGACGTGTTTTCTTGTAGCTCACGGAAAGGGACGAGTTGTGACTTGTGCTAATCTACGTTATTCTCCTATACAAGTGGAACATTCCGAATTTCGCCTTGACACAAATCCTCAACAATTATTACTTTTCGATTTTTTTCCCATAATATGAAACAGCAACATGCAAACAGTTGTTTGTGGCATCAGCTAAATCTCTATAGGGCATACATATGTCTGTTGGCCACAGTCCTGTGACATGTGCCTGTTGACCACCGCCCTGTGTCATATGTCATGTGCCTATTGACCATCCCCCTGTGTCATGTGCCTGTTGACCACCGCCCCGTGTCATATGTCATGTGCCTGTTTACCACCGCCCTGTGCATATGTCATGTGCCTGTTGACCATCGCCCTGTGTCATGTGCCTGTAAACCACCGCCCTGTGTCATATGTCATGTGCCTGTTGACCACCGCACTGTGTCATGTGCCTGTTGACCATTGCCATGTGTCATATGTGATGTGCCTGTTGACAACCGCCATGTGTCATACGTGATGTGCCTGTTGACCACCGCCCTGTGTCATATGTAATGTGCCTGTTGACCATCGCCCTGTGTCATATGTCATCTGCCTGTTGACCACCGCCTTGTGTCATATGTCATGTGCTTGTTGACCATCGCCCTCTGTCATATGTCATGTGCCTATTGACCATCGCCTTGTGCCATATGTCATGTGCCTGTTGACCACCGCCCTGTGTTTTGTGCCTGTTGGCCACAAACCTGTGTCATGTACCTGTTGACCACCGCCCTGTGTCATGTTGATCATTGCCTTGTGTCATATGTCATGTGCCTGTTGACCATCGCCCTGTGTCAAATGTAATGTGTCTGTTGGACCATCGCCTTGTGTCATATGTCATGTGCTTGTTGACCATCGCCCTCTGTCATATGTCATGTGCCTATTGACCATCGCCTTGTGCCATATGTCATGTGCCTGTTGACCACCGCCCTGTGTTTTGTGCCTGTTGGCCACAAACCTGTGTCATGTACCTGTTGACCACCGCCCTGTGTCATGTTGATCATTGCCTTGTGTCATATGTCATGTGCCTGTTGACCATCGCCCTGTGTCAAATGTAATGTGTCTGTCGGACCATCGCCTTGTGTCATGTGTCATGTGCCTGTTGACCACCGCCCTGTGTCTTATGTCATCTGCCTGTTGACCATCGCCCTGTGTCATATGTGATGTGCCTGTTGACCACCGCCCTGTGTCATATGTAATGTGCCTGTTGACCATCGCCCTGTGTCATATGTCATCTGCCTGTTGACCACCGCCTTGTGTCATATTTCATGTGCTTGTTGACCATCGCCCTCTGTCATATGTCATGTGCCTATTGACCGTCGCCTTGTGTCATATGTCATGTGCCTGTTGACCATCGCCCTGTGGCATATGTCATGTGCTTGTTGACCACCGCCTTGTGTCATATGTCATGTGCCTGTTGACCATCGCCCTCAGTCATATATGATGTGCCTGTTAACCATCGCCCTGTGTCATATGTCATGTGCCCGTTAGCCACCGTCCTGCTTCATGTGCCTGTTGTCCATCGCCATGTGTCATATGTCATGTGCCTGTTGACCACCGCCCTATGTCATGTGCCTGTTAACCACCGCCCTGTGTTTTGTGCCTGTTGGCCACAAACCTGTGTCATGTGCCTGTTGACCACCGCCCTGTGTCATGTGCCTGTTGATCATTGCCTTGTGTCATATGTCATGTGCCTGTTGACCATCGCCCTGTGTCAAATGTAATGTGTCTGTTGGACCATCGCCCTGTGTCATTTGTCATGTGCCTGTTGACCACCGCCCTGTGTCATGTGCCTGTTGATCATTGCCTTGTGTCATGTGTCATGTGCCTGTTGACCACCTCCCTGTGTCATGTGCCTGTTGACCATTGCCCTGTGTCATATGCCATGTGCGTGTTGACCACCGCCCTGTGTCATGTACCTGTTGACCATCGCCCTGTGTCATATGTCATGTGCCTGTTGACCACCGCAGGCCTCTGTCATATGTCATTTGTCTGTTGGTAACTGCCCTGTGTCATTTGTGATGTGTCTGTTGGTCACCGCCCTGTGTGATATGTCATGTGCCTGTTGACCACCTCCCTGTGTCATGTGATTGTTAGCTGCCAGCCCGTGTCATGTACCTGTGGCGGTGACATAAAGACCCGCCATTAACGCTTGTTAGGAGTTTTACTTTAGACGGGTATTCGGTTACCAACCCTCTGCGGTGGCTGCCGTCAATACAAGACACAATGCCGGGTGACGCAATGACCTACATACTCGTCATGTGACCAGGCAAAAGAAAGCGAAAATAGGATTGTTGCTTTACAATACTAGGCGTCCTCTACGCAGTTGTAGCAGTCGCCCTAGTGTACCTGCTTCACGCTGTATGCACCGCCCTCGGGCTGGGGACAGACACATCATCTGATATACGAAAATCCGAACATATCAATGTATATCATGTGAGATTATCATGTGGGAGGACTGTGACGCAATCGGATGACACTCATTGGAATCCATCAGTCGGACGTGAGTACTGTGTCTTCTACACTAGCCATTGCATTTCAGTCATTATTACGTTGTCGTCCATTAAAGTTGTCAGGGGTGTTGCTACCATTATAAACAATGCCCGGGCTTACACGTACGTGATTTTGGCTAAAAAGGTTGGACAAGCCCCCAATACTATCTAAATATAAAGCTTTGCAACCTATCGGGCTTACACGAAAAATTGGCTTGCTTCTCGCCTGGATGAAAGGTTTGAATTGTATTCACATTCCTTTTAATTTATACATATCACATACTTGTTATTGTATGTAACAAAAAGCACCAACTGAGCACAGTTTTGAAAAAATCTGACCGACAACGCTTCCGACAACAAGTCCCAGCCAGTGCGACCTAATTTTCAAATTTCCTCTACGGTTTCAAGGAACCCCAATGATCTTGCTGCATTTGGTGATGACAATTTAGCGAGCGATCCTGTTTCAAGTCACCCCAATTTTGTCAACGTCGCTTCTTCACGACAAAACGGATTTCCAATTGCCGAACATTGTTCCTTATCACAAGAGTTTAATCTCTCGCGGTTTGCGGGTTCTGCCCCGTGATCTGTTTAAAAGCTGCTAATTAAATTTCACAATAAACAATCACAAGTAAATAGAATACACCAACGAGATCTGCTTCCTATTCGCCACGCCGCACAACTTCGAAATCGGTCAGTGTATTATTACGCGGTCAAACGAATCCGTCATAGTTTTATAGGTACAATGACAGTTTGTTAAAATGATATTGTTATTGATATTTGTTTCTGTTTGATAATTTTATTGATGTTATGCTTATTAAAGCAGTTTCAAACCTATTGACGAATTTGTTGTAATATTTTAAGGAATACTTTGAGAACTATTTCTTCAAGGGTTGGGATACATGTGTAAAAAAATCGCCAAGTATACACACATCGCTACAATACGGTCTTGAACAGAATGACATTACAACATTTTACAGGTATTAAAACACATCACTGTAAACAATGATCACGAAGAAGTGGGTAAGAAACGTATGTGTAAACATCAAAGTGAGAAATTATAAGAATTGAATGTCACTTTGTGTGTTTGCACTGAAAAATGAACGATGTCAACGTTTTGACATCGTTCATTTTTAAGTGCAAACACACAAAGTGACATTCAATTCTTAATGAATGCATGACGTCACAGGTCAGAAAGGTGAATGAACCCTCGCTCGTGCTATGTTGCATGAAACCCTTCATGAAGCGAAAACAAAGCACAGTTCAAATGAGGCGCGCAATGACGAGGTGGTCATGTCACCCTGAATTGTATGTAACACTGAATTACATGAATGCACCTGGATTTAAAAAACCCGTGCTCGCCAGAGCGTGCGACCTACTTTGTTGAATAAAGAGAACTTTATATTCTGAATCATTCAGTCCTCACCCGACTTGGACAGTTTAACCCGATGTTATGTTTAAATGTTATCAAAATATTTTAATGGTGACTTTCTCTCAACGTTAAGACATCAGGTCAGTTACCAGTTTGGTTGATGCAATTAACAATCTTCGAGAAGGCAAGAGAAAACATGAGAAAATATCTTCCCTGAATGCCAAGCAGAAGGTATGCTCCCAACATATTATTGGTGCGAATGTACCTGCAGCACCAGTGGAAACCGGTTTGGTTTGGTTGTGGGCGAACACCCGACAAAGTACCCATTTTTAACTGTATAACATCTACGAGAGCACGATATTCACTCCTCTTCACATACAAACAGGAGTTGTGGTAGTCATCAGTTTGACATCTTGTCAACGCATACGTGATCCGAAATAACATGCCAAAAGTTCTGTATGCATGTTTACTGTGTATTCAATATAGTGTAGGTTTCTATAGGGCTGTTACGCATGACTGCCTGCCTGTGTCATGTGTCTGATGACTGCCGGCCTGTGTCATGTGTCTGATGACTACTGACATGTGTCATGTGTCTGATGACTACCGACAAATGCGGTCTCCATATCCCTGACCCTGTGTCATGTGTCTCTTGATTGCTGACATGTGCCATGTGCCTGATGTCTGCCGACATGACATTGTGTCATGTGTCTGCTGACTGCCGATCTGTGTCATGTGTCTGTTGACTGCCTTTTGACTGCCGACATGTGTAATATGTCTGCTGACTGCAGTCATGTCATGTGTCTGCTGACTACCGACCTGTGTCATGTGTCTGCTGACTGCCGATCTGTGTCATGTGTCTGTTGACTGCCTTTTGACTGCCGACAGGTGTTATGTGTCTGCTGACTACCGACCTGTGTCATTTGTCTGCTGACTGCCGATCTGTGTCATCTGTCTGATGACTGCCGACCTGTGTCATGTGTCTGTTGACTGCAGACAAATGCGGTGTTCGTTGCCCTGACTCATGGCCCAGTACTTTCTAAATGCCTAACTCTTGTTCATCACTCTGACCCCAGGCAACCCCTTCATAATGGTTATCTTGGTGACAGCCAATACTCGACACAACATTGGATAATGCATTGGCCTACAAAAGCCTTGTGCTTCTTTGAAAATGAAAGCGAAAATAGGATTGTTGCTTTACAATATTAGGCGACCTCTACGCAGTGGTACCAGTCGCCTCAGTATACATGCTACACGCTGTATGCATCAACCTCGGGCTTAGGACAGACACATCATCCGATATACAAAAATCCAAACATCACCATCACCATCATGAGTGATTATCAGGTGGGGACTTACCTGTGACACAATCGGATGACACTGACTGGAATCCATCAGTCGGACGTGAGTACTGGGTGTATTCTACACTAGCCATTGCATCTCAGTGTAGAACTTGGGTACAAGTGAGCACTGTTCCTGAATATTGGTTACATATTATAATCAAGCTTTAGGCCCGTGTTTGGAAACTTGATTGTACCCGTAATGAGAAAAAGAGAAACCGTTACAGTCAAGCAGTTTCCTGCTGTGTACAATATAGAATATAAATCACAAAACAGTGGTTTTGTGTACAACATTGATAAATCATATACAGCGATACATTGCATATAGATTTAGGATGATAAGAATACATGAAATATATACAGTTGTAGGGGAAATGATAGTTTGGACCAAGTCCAACAAAAAGCCTCTGCAAAGCCTTATTTCTCAAATAAGGCTTTTGTCATGCCCTTGATCCCGCCACCATCACCCCTACTGCTTTTGAGTCCCCCCGGCACTCAAAAGCCTTATAAAAAGTTGAAACGCCAGCGGGATACGAACGCCCAATGTTATACCTCACAGCCGCACCACTCAACCGACTGAGCTACCGGGTACTTAGCTGAGGTCTATAATAGCTCCACGTGCCGCTATGACACTATTGTGCCGCTATGTCGCGTTGACCTCGATGAAACAGTTAAATGTGAATCGCCAATAATCTCTTTGGTGTTTGTAATAAAGGCTTGCTGGGCTTTTTTCACCCCTTGTTCTATGTACTTTTTTTTCTCGTCTTCGCTGATAGCAGACTTACGAGACTTGGATCGAATCTCTTGTTTCATTTTGTTATATTTTTCGAGTTCAGAGAGGATTGAACGAAACTCCTCCTCCGAGATCTTGTTGTCTGTGAGTGCCGTGGAAATACGCTCACTTACTGTGTTAAGCTTTGCTTCGGCCAGAACCCTGATCTCGTCGTGTTTCAATGCCTTACGATGCAGTCTACGTGATGTAAACTTAAGCACCAACCCTAACACCCCTGCCACCCCAGCTGTTATTTCAATACCTAGCACTACGGGGGTAGCCACGATGGTAGCTAGCAACCCAACACCTGCCGCCCCCAGCCCCATGCTGGTTGTCATAAGGGCAGTATCAGCCCCGTCCACAATATTGAAAGCTCTATGGTACTTCTTATATAGTGCTTTACGCGTGTCGCGGTCTTGTTCTAGTTGGCGTTTTACATCACATAACTGTCTCAAACGGAACCCGTCTACAGTTTCCAGGGTCTTCGCTACTTCCTCTATGACTGGGTATAGACCCATTCTGTGTGCCTATAATATATCTGATAAAATATTTTTTAATTGGGTATCAGTTAATAGCCGATCAACGTACTTGAGGTTTATAAGGCCTACGTTCCCATGTAGGTGAATAGTGGAAAGGTCAATAGGTAAATTTTGGGAACTTACCCTAAATATACTGGAGCTTATTAAGGGGGGCAGCAACCCCTCACCCGACCCCGAGTCCCGTCGTATGACGATACTACAATGGTGGTCTTCATAGCCAATAACAGATAGGCTTATTTGCACCCCAGATAAATGGTCCCATGAGGGCCCATGGACGTTTTTTAAAAAGAGTATTATGATTAATGTGGAGCCTGGAGGCATAAACCTAGGAAATGGTAGGCCAGAGTATATCTTAAATGATAACTGTGCATTCCGGGTTGCATCTTACATGTAACCAGGGTGATTTGGGATTTGGGAAATTCTAATATTTTTAAAGCCGTCGGATTGAAACCCCCCAAGCAAGATACCGCTGTTCTTAATTTCAGCGATATCCCTAGTGATAGGTCCACCATTACGAAAAGAGACGTAAGGTGTGGTGAGGGTTATGCCGAGCAACCATTTGGGTTCTAAAAGGTGGTCCTGCAGGCGCCAATCAGCTATTTCCACCCTCCTATACACGTTGTTTTTCAAGCGTAGGATGTACGAGATGTTTTCCTCGCCAGCTGATCGAATCCCTCAGTGTCTCCTAGACCCCCGAGTGTGGGTTTGGGTAGATGATCGGCCATTGCCGCCCGCCTATACAAGTTGTTTTTCAAGTGTAGGACGTAAGAGCCACCTTCCTCACCAGGCTGATCGAATCCCTCCGTGTCCCCTAGATCATTAAGCGTAGTGTTGGGACGATGACTGGTCATTGCTATAATACTATTACGATATAGTTTCCAACTGTTTTTCTGATAATAGTTCAGGGGTTAATTTCACCCCCATGAAATGTATGTTCTCAGGTAGGAAGATCTTGGTTAGTGACATCGTGTTTTCCACGATCACGGTGAGACCCTGCAGACTGGTTTTGGAGTCGACACCCACCCGCACGTAAACTGTGCAAACGTGATACTGGTGTCGTTTCCCCACCCGAGTTTGATCCCCTTCACGATTTCGACATCATTCCGCGATGGTTCCCCTAGGTAGACTTGGATGACCAGTGTTGAGTTCGCCGGTAGACCCCCCAGGATGTTGACCACTCCTACGAATTCAGACACCAACTGCAATGTCACGTTTTGCATTCCCGGTTTACTCGATAGCATGTGGGCTGCCATACTGGTGACTGGGCTGATGATTACGCTGCGTCTCTGAGTCGGGACGTAAGCCACTAGCATGGTTCCGTTGTTCACGACTTTGTTTAGGTACTTGTCTTTGTTATCTGTGAACACGTAGGGGGCGCCGAGCCTAATATTGAGAAACCAGTCGTCTTTATCGGGTAACAACACCCACTTATCATCTTCGGTGAAGACGAGCGTATATGGCTTGTTTTGGGCAACGGTAGTGCTCTCAACATCGTCCAAGTCGAACAGTTTGCCCCCGAACGATGGGTATATTATCCATTTATCATCACCGGTGTTGACTAGGGTGTACCGAGTGTTGATGGTCGCTCTTGAGGTATCTACTATATCACCTAGGGCTCCACCGGAGGGGACTTCAATGCGTTTGTAAATGTTGTTTTTCAGTTGCAAGGCGTGCAATTTACCATATACTCCGGGAGCGTCGAAACCGCGTGTGTCCCCGAGGTCGGAGATCCCCACATTGATGCATTTTTTCACCCCGGGCCCTTGTGCGCTGGTCATTTTATGTGAAGCGCTATGTTGAGGTATCCTATATTGACGGGATTATGATTTATATCTAACACCGATATTATCAGCTCAACCTCTTATACTGCCGCTGTGAAAACGACTCGGTTCTACCGTCGTTGTATTTCTCAGTTTTAACCGGCACTGCTCTCAGTATAGTGGAAGGATGACCCCCTTGAATGTTGTACGTTGTGCTCACCTGGCCGAGATGAATGTACAGCTCTCGGTACGGTACTAGGTCGGGTAACTTCATGCCTGTGACGGTAGTTGTTGGTT